TAAATTTACTATATTATGTAAGAATTTTAAAATATTTAATAGTTAAAGAATTCATGTCATACCAATTTTCCTTCTTAAATGTGTTATGATACTTTCACGATAATTCACTTACATTAAAATTCTATATAAAAAAGAAAAGAATGTCCATTACATTACTAACACCCCGTCCCCCATTCAATATATATCATCACTCCATGAAAATACGAATTGATTTGAGTATTAAAATTAAGGTCATATAAACTCGAAGAGTGATCTAGTTGGCTCAATTAGATCAATTTTAAAATCCAAATATACAAATTCATATATATATTTTGAAAGAGAAAGAAAAAAGAAAAAGAAAAAAACGGTGGGTGGACGCGGTTTTGGGTCTCGAAGTGAAATAAATGACGGCATATTTGTCGTATTGCATGTGAGGAATTTTGATTGGTAGTGTCACATTTGCTTAGATACTGCCACGTGGCCTATTCTTCTTCTTCTGATGATGATGATGATGATTTTCAAACTTAATTAACAACAACAATCCCAAAATCCAAAAGGGATGTTTTTTGTGCTTTGGGATCTGTAGGGACGACATCCCTTCTGCCTCACGAGACTCAATCCTATTTATTTCTTAGGAAAGGAAAAGAAATAAAAATAAAATAATCATTTTTAAGTAAATTTGTTATCTCGAATTCAGTTCGAATAAAATCTTATTCTTATGAATAATTGTCCATCACAAAGGATTAAGGCTAAGCACAAGAATTTATGTGAGATATGAATAATAGAATGCGCATCGTTGTCTAAACAAACACTAAAAGAAAAGGTTTATGACTGTTTTAATAGGCATCAAAATGGAATAAAGTACCTAAGAAAGAGGTCCCACGCGGTTTCTTACAAGGCATTTTAGCTATCGGAAGAACATGAATGGTGCCATGCTACTCACTGCACCGAAGAATTATGGTATTGACTATGAGTCTCATGTCACATGGTTCCACTATTTGTATTTGGTCAGTCATCACTTGTCAAGATAAAGTTCACATGGCTTTAAGACCATTATTAAAAGCTCAAAATAATATCTTGTCAATTTATTTAATTTCCAATAAAAATGGGTCCAACAACTTCTCCAATTTTTCAAACAAATTTTTTCTGTCTCTGATTTTAAGCATAACTTCACAGTGACACCTTCGATGAAACCTTGACGGGCTTAGCTTATGAGAAGTGTTTCGGATTTGGACCTTTGATTTTCTTCTTGCTCCTCTCCAGGGATGCAGATTGAACAAAATGGAGTAATCTCAGTCCCAATGGCCCATAATAATTTGATGAAAGGAAAATAATGAATGAAATAATTTGGTAAGTAAAAAGGTAATAAATAAATTCTGACATGACAGATTTATCTCACTGGTCATATGGATCACATGATTATTGAATTCAGTAAAAACAAATAAATAATAAAAATGGACAGTTCGAAAGGGGAAAAAAATCTACTTATGTCAGTCAATTAATTCGGCTTGCTCTAGTCTTCGTACATTGACTTAGGAATTGATATCGTTATAACATTTGAGTCTTAAAATGATTTTCGCAGGGTATTCTAAATGAAGCCCTTGAACTTCTTTTCTTAAAGTAGAGCTGTCTCCTATTGTTGGGAACATTAATTACAATAAATAAAAATGAATGAATTAATGAGCTTAAATAACTAAAATATTACCTAAATAAAATGACAAAAATTACGCTTTATCAAAATGCCAAAAGAGTCGAGGATTCTTTGAAATATCCCCCGCATGCATATCATTTCTATTCGTTGTTGATTGCCCAAAACTGAACAATGTAGAGTAATGCTTGAGCCCAAACAATTCAGAAATGCTGGATGTAGCCCTGAAAATGTTGGGCTTAATTTTACCCAAAACTAGTTTGGACCCGTAAAAGTTGAGACTTGGAGACTTGTGTTTTTGGAACTTTGATCAAAGTTGGCCACGATTCTGGACCAGAAAAAGACCCATAAGCTAGACCCAAAACCAAATTATTGCCGATGAGCAGTGGCTCAAAGCCTCAAGTAGCAAGTGTTGTCATACGATATACTTATATGCTCGACGACATCCTTATGGTACAGACATTATGGTTCTTTTAGTTATCACGTTCATAGTGTTCGTTAAATTTGGCCTATGTTGTCATCTTGAAATGTACACAAGCAGTTGGGGAGGGATGAAATATACCCATTTAGGTCCCATTCCTTCCTAACCCATACAAAGGTAGAAATGAATTGAAAGAAGATAAAATACTGATATTGATTCAAATCCACTTAGATATATATTTATTTTAATGTTAAAATATAATTTATTCAAACATTTACTGGTCTTTAAATTCAATCCATATTCGAATTCAGCTTTTGTTGTTCTGGCGTCTCACATGCACACATCAGAACATGTTCCCCATCCAAAGGCTAATTTTTGATTGACCTTCTTTTTCCTCTAATAATTTGAAAGATTCTATCTTTTAGTAGAGTAGAGGGGCACCACTCCCCATGTCTCGTGTGTAACTCCTTTCCAAAATTTGCTTGGGTTTTGGTTTGCATGTGCTCACACAGCTCAGACCACAGTGTGGTAGGGTCAATGTGTAAACAAATGCTGCCACATTTTCCAGCTCAATCTCCTCTTCCATCGCTCTTTTCTTTCTAGTTTATCGTTCCTTCTCATTGTGTGATGACTTTTAACTTTGTCAAAAAGATCTTTGTTCATTTTGAGGAATATTGGCCTTGCACAACACACATTGTGATGCAACTTATTTAGTTGCCATGTTAAGCCAGCTAACTGCAATAGCCATGATAATGTAATAACGTGATTAATGATGTTTGTCTTCATTAAGGTATGCGACGATGTGAGTTTCCAAGGTATCCAAAAGACATATCAATTTCAAAGGGAAAATGGGAATTTTCTATTTTCTAAGAAGAAGAGAAAAAAAAAACAATGATAATTAGGTTCCCACTAGCTAACCACCGTATATTGATGTTGTAATTTTTAATGCAATCAACTGCATTTTTCAATAGTTTTTTGTTAATTATTTAACTAATAACTTGAGCATATTAGTTAATGTTTTATTCTTAATTAACTTGAGAAAGTCACGAGTTGTAACATTTTTTTATTCCATCAAAAGAACTATAACAAAAGTGGAAAGCCTGCGACATAACAAGGACGATGTTTTAGGAAGGAAAATAAAGACGGTAACGTAGACTAGACGCATTTTGGCGTAATGTTTGATTTGATTGCTCAAACAAGTAACTAAGCATATATTGCATGCTTAAATCACTAAACTCTTACCTTAATACTTTTGCAATGATGTCAAATTTTAGGTGACACGTATTAGTCAATTAATTAATCTTGGAGGCAAGTTGCTCATTTCATTTGGAAGTCGTTGGTCACCTGTGATACTAGAAATAAGGTTTGTTTAGATAAATAGATGAATTGTTTTTCAAAATTTTCAAACTTCCTAATAATCATATAATGTAGCTTTTTTAACTCGGCAAAACTAAAAAAAAACCCTTATTGAAGAACATATCAATAATTGTGTATTCAATTAAAGAAACTCTATTTCTGTCTCTATATATAATGAGAATGTTTTTTCTGTTAATGCAAAAAATGATGAGAACAAATATTAATTATATAATTAAATACGAATAATCAAAATTAAAATTTATATAACAGTCACATAATTATTTAAAAATGCTGTATAATTTAATGTTTCAAGTTTAATTTTTATTCAATTTAATAATTAATGTTTACTTCTTTCACTTCTCGATATAAAAAATCTCATTTAATATACTCTCTTGTATTTGTGGAATGTCAGTACTAATAGCATGGGAGAAATGTGATATATATATATATATATATATATATATATATATATATATATATGCTTCTCCCGTGTACATATTTTTTTTTCTAATCAACCCTGGTTATCGACCACTAATTGCTCTTATGAACAGAGCATCTTGGTGTGGATTCTGAATAGATTGGAGCATGGTGTTAAATTCAGAATGTCAACTTTTGCAGATTGCAATGTTGATATTCATCCCTTAACTATATTTCTTCCTAAATCATTTTTGTTTTCTGCTCGAGCTTTGCAAATGCTAGGCCCACCACCTCTTTGGTTCTCAAATTTTATTGTTTACTTTGAGCTTTTGTGCTTTCATTGTCAAACTTCCGTGTCTTTCTAAATTCTTCTATTATTCCATTCCTTCCAAATTCCGATCTCATTTCGAATCGAACTTTCCAACAGTTTGTTTATGCGTGTCCAGGTTCATGCCATTAATTGTTGCTAATCTTAGATGTGATGCGAACTAGTAATTATTTAAGCACCTTATCCAACATTTATTTATTAAAAAAATGAAAATGACCTTCATGCCCTGTTTTTTTTTTCTGCCACTGGATAATGCATTGCATCAAATGCGATCTACGGTTTTCAACCAATTCCCTTGGCTTCATTAGCTGTACTAACATCCTGTGAGAGCGTGATATCACGTTATGCCGATTATAAACCATGATGACAAATCTTATCCTATTATATAATGACCAATATCATCAACAAAATAATAATAATAATAATAACGATGGAAACAGAGTACCCAGATCAAAAGCACATTGGACCAATCATTTCAGACGACAAAACTGAGGAAACCAAAAGAAGCATAGTTACCCCGATACCCCCTCCGAGCTACATTCTGATCACCATGTGCTTTCTGAAACCCAACAAAACAACCTCTCTCTATCAATAATTAAGGAAGAATCGGGTTTTGGAATTCAAACCCTGTAAGAAAATAAACTAATGCCACAACGATTTTCGTTTGAACGGATTTAATTAAACCCAACCTCCCATTTGTTAGTTTATTTTTTGGTGCAAAAACCATGTGCTAACAAACTTGTACCCTCTTCTCTTTTCTTTCTTCATTTCCATTCACAAACCAGAACCCGAAATACCTCTCTCAACTACTCCTTCAACATCTTGGAAAATTGCTTTCGATTTTAAATGAAATGTCAGAGCAAAAGAGATTCCCAAAGAACAAGGTGTTCTACGTTAGGATGAAGCTCCTACACAAACATGGGAACAGGCCTCCACAAGACAAGAACAACAACTGCTTCTACACTTACTACAAATGGCTTCTCTGGCTCTCTCTCTCCCTCTATTTCTTCACCTCTTACCTCATAAGTAACAACCCCAACAACACACCAACCTCTTCTGACATGTCAAACTCCAAATCCAACGTTGTCTCTCGCACCCTTTTCGAATCCACCAACACCACATCCCTTTCACAAACTGGTCAGCATTTTCACTTCAAAAAAAAAAATATTTTTTAATTATATTCATAATTCTGTCTCGTTTCATTGCAGAGGTGCTGAAGAATTTGAAGGTGTTCATCTACGATCTTCCACCCAAGTACAACACCGATTGGCTTACGAACGAAAGGTGTAGCAACCATTTATTCGCGTCTGAAGTGGCCATTCACAGGGCACTGTTAACAAGCAAGGTGCGAACGTTTGACCCATTTGAAGCTGATTTCTTCTTCGTCCCCGTTTACGTTTCCTGCAACTTCAGCACCGTCAATGGCTTCCCCTCGATCGCCCACGCGCGCTCACTCATCGCCTCCGCAGTGCAACTCATCTCCACCGAATACCCTTTCTGGAACCGAAGCAGAGGATCTGATCACGTCTTCGTCGCTTCACACGACTTCGGCGCTTGTTTCCACACCCTTGTGAGTAACCCAAAAAACTTCAAAACGCACCGTTTCGAATGTTGCGTTCGTTTGAATGATTTTTTGTGTTTGTGAAGGAGGATGCAGCGATGGCTAACGGGATACCGGAAATTTTGAAGAATTCGATCGTGTTGCAGACATTCGGCGTTGTTCACAAGCATCCGTGTCAAGACGTTGAGAATGTGGTGATTCCGCCTTATTTTTCGCCGGAAAGTGTACGGAGAACGCTGGAGAAAGCCCCCGTGAACGGACGGCGAGATATCTGGGCTTTCTTTCGCGGTAAAATGGAAGTGCATCCTAAAAACGTCAGTGGAAGGTTTTACAGCAAGTAATGAAAATGACCCCACTAATCATTAATTAATAATCTAATTATTTAATTAATCACTAATCATCGTGTTATGCGCTTTGGGAACTGAAATGAGTTGACCGGTTTTTTTTATTTTTTTTATTTTGTCAAGGCGCGTGAGGACGGTGATTTGGCGGAAGTTTAGCGGTGACCGGAGGTTTTACCTGCAAAGGCATAGGTTTGCCGGTTACCAGTTGGAGATTGCTCGTTCAGTTTTCTGTTTGTGTCCGTTGGGGTGGGCCCCGTGGAGTCCGAGACTGGTGGAGTCGGTTGCGTTAGGGTGTGTGCCGGTTGTGATTGCCGATGGGATCAGGTTGCCATTTCCCTCTGCCGTGAGGTGGTCGGAGATATCGTTGACGGTGGCGGAGAGAGACGTGGGGAAGCTGGCGAAGATTCTGGAGCGCGTGGCGGCTACTAACCTAAGCGCTATTCAGAGGAACCTGTGGGACCCGAGGACCAGGCAGGCACTGCTTTTCAACAATCATGTCAAGGAAGGTGATGCCACGTGGCAGGTTCTGCTTAGTTTAACTCAGAAGCTGGGTAGGTCCTACCGAAGGTCTCATGTTCGGGGCCAATTAAAAAGTGACACGTGACGAGTTGAGATGGGTGATGAACTGGCGTGCCGACGTGGCGTCTATTTCTCTCTCTCTCTAACAGCATTTGCCTGTCCAACAATGATTTGTTGACAGCTGTCATTTCTTTTGGAATTTTGATAAAGTCATGGTGGGACCCTCTGGAACATAGAGTAGATATTTCTTAAGATTTTATTCGAGTATTTTTCATGCCAACGTGGAGGGTTCTTGATGAGGTGGCAATCGTTGATTCGACGAGGGTACGATTGCCAGATGAGGCACTTCAAATTTTGAATCTTTGTAAAATCATTTTTGCTGTAAATAAATTATTTCTATATATATACACTATAAATTAATAGTAATTTTTTTATCGAGTAGTAGCCAGTGAATTTTTTTATTAGCATAGTTGAAGTGTGTCAGAACTTTGCAGTGATATTTTTAATGTGAAAATTGGGATGGAGTGATGGTGTCAGTGATCACGGATATTGCATGGCTTGGGTGTCAAAATCAATTGCTCAGAGAGGGATGGAGAATCCAACAATGCCATTGTTTTATGCGAGGAACAGCTGCTGATGTGTTGTCGTAGGTAATTTTCGGTGTCCTTTTTGTTTGTTTGTGTACCACACTGACCTATACACCAATTGGGAAGAGCTTAATTGGTTTTGCAATGCTGAAGAAAGCTGTTTCGTAATTCGTTCTTAATGATTCTGATGGATCCCGTTGAATTGAATTCCAACCAACCAAACAGTACTTTTGGTATCATGGTTCAGTTTCCCGGTAATTCAAAGCTATCTCTATACCTTACAAACAACCTTTTATCGTCAAGTGGTCCTTCAAAGCTGTTGAGTTTACTTGGTACCTAAAATCTAAAAGGGCAATTACCAGTGTAGCTCTGTCTATTGGCTTTAGATTTCATTTTACTAATAATTTAAACGTTATTTTGAGTTACTGTTGTTTTTTAAAAAGTTACTGATCAAAGAAACCAAATTCCATGTGAAGGAGAAAATTATTGCAGGTAGGAATTGCAAACAGACAAAAAGATATCCAAGAAAATCAAATGGAGGGAAAAAAACTGCAGAACAATTTTGAAAGAGGAAATATCTTTGGTGCAATATAAAAAATGGTATGTAAACAATTATGTGAATTTGCGAGAACAAAACAGTAGAGTTCATCTTACGCCTGAGATGGGTGGATATAATAATAGGCCTTGAACGCTATGAGTCACATAACTTTGTGCTCTCGTAAAGAGAGGAATAGACATTATGACATTGAACCATTTTTAAAAAATTAACAGAAACCACTTATTTATATCTTTGTCTGGAAATCTTATACTACAAGATACATTCTCATCAAATTAAGTGAATGAACATTAGGCTTTAATTAATGAACCTGTATGATTCATTGGTTTAGGCCAGCGACTCAGCACAATTTACTATGGGGAAACTTTGTCCCTAACGTTATTTTGGCGCATGTCGCAAAAAGCATATTCGTGATGAAGTTGTGAAGAGCTTAATTCGAAGAGTGGTGAATGGACCTAAGTGAGCACAATAGTTACATATATTTCTCAATTAGACAAGTGTTCAATTTTCTTGGTTTTTATTCTTACATGAAAAGAGAAATAAAATATGTGCAATCACATTCTGCTATCTCTTTAGGCTTAACAATAAAGTTTTCAATGGGCTCGGCCCTTTTCTCGGGTTTTGTTTTATTTTGCTTTATATTTCTGGGCCTAAAAAAGGTGTAGTGCTTCATGACGAATTACACTTTCTGAGCTGATAGACAATGTTTTCTACCCAACAAAACAAGTAAAATCAGACAAAAACAAATGAAAAACATGATAACTGTGGTTACCCAAGAATGAACGCCATAATATATCATCGTGTAAACTTGATAATAGAAATCGAAAAAAGTAATTAATTTATATTAATTTGCAAAATTGATTCGTTTTATTTTATATCCTAAACTCATAATAATTATAATTGGTTTTGTTTTAGGAATTTTTTTATACTTTTAAAGTTCCATAATTTTTACTTCAGCATATAGACCTCCCCTGTACTTCTATCTCATATATATTAATATACATTATTCAACCTTTTTTCTATCATATTCAATGTTATACATGGCTTGTTACCTTTTTACAATATAATTTATGCATACCCAAAAGATTATGTTTAAAGAAATAATAAGAGGGAAGCATGAGAATAACTACTTTAGTAATTAGCAATTTGACTTGCCGACTTGCCGACCTGCTAGGAAAATTTATGATTACAAAAAATAGAAGTGACAACCAAAAACAGGAAGGAAAAAAAATGATTTATAGAATATGGGCTTAAAAGTTGAAGAAGAAAGGTGAGAGTCATATACATTTAATCGGAACTATTTTTCATGTTATCGTTTTCATTATCAGTCGCACTCATATATATCATGACATCCATTTACTGTTTTAGCGTAGCGACCATCGTCCATTCGTCCTGTTGATGTGTTTCCTCTTTTTATTATTATTTTTACATAAAAGAAACACAGTATTCCTTTCTAGAGTTATGTCAAATTCATTAAAATTTATTTGTTTGATCAATTTTATCCAAAATGCCAAAGTGCATATTTCCTTCTTTTAATATATACTGAAAGAAAAGCGAAAGACAATTTACCTCCCAAAAAATATCGGTAGGGGGTTTGGTTCCACAATGGATAGGTAAAAATTGAAGACGTTGCTAGCTGGGATAGTTGGGTTTCTGGCCAAATTAAGATAAAGATAATTTTCATGGGAACATATTGAACCTTGTCCTAAATTAGAAAAAAGCAAATGGGAGCGAGATAGATTGGCATATTTAGGTCCAAGAGCTTTCCAAAGTAGCTCGGAAGGGGTAGTAACGGTGCCATCAACTATTCATAATCGACAGCCGCATACTGAAATCAAAGCGTGAGATTTAGCTTGTCTATTCCAATACTATGGTATATTAAAAATGATCGTTTTATTCCCACTAAATGAGTATGAAATGGTTGGGTAGATAAGTTAATTATAAGTTTGCTCCAGAGTTGAAGAACACAATCAATCTTGCTTAATTTAAAATGGATCTTGACTGGTCGATCAGAGCTATGTAAGAAGTTTCTTTCTTATGAGACTCAAAAAGATTTCTTAAAACTGGATGTATTTTGTTACAAAAAAATATAGTAATGCTATTTATTACAAAGTATTTATATAAATGTTGTCACAAATGTTTCAGGATGGATCATAATTTGAGGGGGGAAATTAGAAAGTAAATGATTGAATATAACATTATTAAACACGATTAGATCACCGGGTTAATTTAATTGCGATGCTAAATTACTAATTGTTGAACATAGTATGATTAAAATAAAAATAAAAATTTCCTTGTATAGCCGTTGAAAATAATAATACCTGTATTATGATAATATAAATGAGATATTGTGGTTGTTAGTGCTAAAAATAACAATATTTAGGTTTCATAATCAAATCTTTTCCATGAAAGTTTTCTCAACATTTTGCAAAACAACTACATGATCACATCAATGGAATTAACTCGATCGATTCACACTATAAACGGAATGTGAACAAATAAATGACGTGAAACTAATTAATTGCAATTAGATTGTATAAATGATAGAATGTAGGGCAATTTGGTAGTAAATATATGTAACTTCTAACAAATCAATGCTTGAAAGTTTGAAGTGAGGGTTGTTTGCACAGTTTAATGCATTGCACTGGTCCCTAGTTACTCAAATCCTAAATTCATTCATGTGACATTTGACAATACCACAACTAGACAAGGAATAGTAGAACAAAGTAAAGTTTCTGATCACTCACAAGATCAAAAAGAAAGTCAAAGTAAGAGACTGTGTAAAATACTAGGATGCGATCTAAGGAGAAGAAAGTTGGTTCACGTGATTTGATAGCCTTCATCTAGGGCTTTGATGTAAACCATGCATGATTTAAAATAATATGGAACGCATTACATGGTCGAGAAGAAGGCATCTTTTGGGCCATGAAGTAGCGTATTGAATTAGCATCATTTCCTGGTGCCTACCATCTAGATGCCTTTCCGGCTCTATTGATACGTCATGTCTTGTCTTTCCTCTTGTTTCAGTTTTTAGAGCACGGCTTTTATCAACTCCAATCACAATTTTATTACTCCTAACCAATAATTGTGTATTTTTGAATAGTTAAAAAACATCTTTGTTAATTTTTATCAGCCAAGAGGAGAGGATCGTCATGATCTTATCTTTCAGAATTGGGTACATAAATAACTAAAATTAAAATATAGTTAGATTTTTTTCTCACTGTAGGAAAACTCTATCCGCCTTTTAAAGTTATGTCATAGCATGTGTATTATCTTACTAATTGGGTAGTAAGTCAGTAATTTGTCTTCATGCATGATTAAGTTGTGTCTTTCTTTCTTGCTATCGATACTCGTTTATTACTATGTTTAGATAATAAAAGGGAAGCATGAGTTAGCGATAAATTAAAGGATATAAAGTAAGATGGTTATACGCTTAAAATGTCCTAGACATGACCTTCTACTTGTCCAAGTGTTCCATATTAAGATGTACCCTATTCTCTTGTCATTGTAGTGGGTATGCAAGTTCATCAACAGTCCTTGGCACGGGCTTTCTACCGACAATAGCAAAATAGCACTTAGTTATTTTCATGAAATCACAGATTGAATACTATTTTGGTTGTTGAATTCAGCAACAAAAGTCCATCCGAAGGTTCCTTCCAACGGCTTACTTTCAAGGGAACAAAGCTCCTTTTTCTCATTTTTGGTACCTAAACACGTATTAGGAAATCACCCAAATAGATTTATTTCAACAGGAAAAAGGACTAAAGTAATACTACACCACAATTACATAAACAACAAAAGCATCCCAATCCTTTGTGGGGCACAACACAATAACAGAAACAACGAAAACATCCCAATCTTTTTTGTGGGGGGGGGGGGGGTTTGGACGCTCACTTGTGTTGCAATTACACTTAGCATTTGCTAGTGGGACCATCTCAAAAACCACCCCATGAACAAACTGTTTTGGTAATGTATAATGGAAGCATAAAAAGTAACTTTTAAACACACCAACTTGAATCAAATTAACCAATTAAACCTCAACATTCTGGAGTAAGTGTATGGTCTCTCCTTGGATCATGACAATAGTCATAGACCAAGTAGTTGTTTTGAACCCATTGCATTGCATCAAATTGCTGAGGGCTAAGGCTTCCATAGCCTGGTGGTGAGGCAGATGGAGGTTGGCATGAGGCAAAATCTTCAGTGGTACAACCTTGCAATTTTAAGTTTTTGTATCTACCAACGAAGGGTTGGTAGCTATAGTCAGCTTTGTATTTTCCACCCTCTGTAGCCCATGAAGATGCATCCCATATTGAACCGTACACATACATTGGTCTTGTGGGGAACGTGGCATCACTCTTCCTAGGATACATCCTTATTGGAACATCATCCACAAAAAATCTGCATATATTGTTTGAGTTGTAAGATAAACTACTAAAACTAGTAATAAGAGGCATAGAGAATCTAGATCTCGCAAGCAAGATTTTATCATGATAAGCCTACTCCCGTGAAAAATACGTTGTCATCCCATAATAAGCTATGAATGATTGAGTACGAAAAAGAAGCTACATGCACAGTTTTTCTCTCTCCATTGACAAACGTGATGAAAAGTTAATCGTTTTATTATAAAGGGGGACCACACTCTATTATAGTGTAGAAATAGTCTTTTTCAAACGAAATATTTTAACTAAATGATAGCAATTGCCTAATTGGGCTAGATGGTGGTTTTTCTTGTTACAAATAAAATATTTCACAAAAATTTGAAGTTAGATTTTTTTGTGGGAGAACAAATTCTATGTGTGTCTTCGCAATTTAGGCATGGATTACGATATTTAAGCATATTAAAGTCATAAATGGATCATGGTAGTGCAAGATAATATTACATGATCTCACTGGGGGTCCATAGAACGGCATAGTTGTGAAAATCTTGCGTTGGGTCGAACCAAAGGTGAAACCTCATCTCTCTTCCTACAATGTTCCCATCTCCACTTCCTCTTATGAATACATTTGTCTGCAAGACATATGGCTTATCTGGTATGGTACCAAGGAACTCAATGTCTATTTCATCATGGTTTCCTGGGTGGTCTTGGTTGTTTGAAAGCTACAACAATTCCCAAATGAAAGAACAAAGAAAAGGGATGAAAAACCGCACACAAAAAACATACACATTCACTCAATTTTCAACATTAAGTTATAAAGCAATCCTCACGTAGAAAGATGTAATGACTCCGGCAGTATAACCAGATTGAAGCTTAACCGCAGCACCAAAGTATCCAGATTGATAGGAATGAAGTGACTTGAATCCACTTCCTGTGTTTCAAAAAAGTGCTAATAAGAGCATGCACTAAGATAGTAACCAGTAATAATGAAAGAACAGGACTTTAGTTTTAAATAAACAAATAAATAAATAAGCGTATGTATAAATTGGATTTATTCAACTTAAAAGTGGAGTTTATGTGAGACATTTTACATATACCTGAGTAAGAGTCAAGCCAGATTGTTAATGTGTCCTGGTCTAGTTTCTGATGAAAAGGTCCCCAAAGGTTTCTAAATCCTTGATCAAAGCTAACCGGGCTAATTTTGGAACTAGGGTAGTAGCCAGGTGAAGGTGGACCCTGAGCACTACTACAATGAATCATGAGTGATAATAAAAGAAGAGAGAAGAGAGGAACCATACGGAATAAAGAGGAAAGTAATGATGGCATTGTAGTGACCAGAGTGACTCTGCTAAAATGCAGGGTGAGGCTGAAGATTGGAGGCACAATTGGTACTCATGTAAGTGTATGAGTACACAGTTAATATATATAGAGGGATTTGGAGGCCCCACATTACCATTGGGGTGATAACTTAAGTTGATTAGGAGTTAGACACGAGGGACTAAAGTTTATCAGGTTTGTGATGATAAAAACAAGAGGGGCAAATAGGAGTGCACTTTTTTCTTTTCATTTCTTATTGAGACGCAACTTTCTTTTCAAGTGAATAAATGTTTGTTATACTGTGCCAATAGGGTAGGAAAACATGAAGGATGAGAGACATCTTAATGGTTACTTTCATGACATTGTGTTGGTTACCTCTGAAAATAACTTCAGATATGTTTGGTTCCTTTACCACAGCTTTAAATACTATCATATAGCACTTGGACAAGGTATAGCATGAAGAGAAACCTGTGCTGAACTTAATTTTTGTTGTAGTTTTCTAAGGGTAATGTGATTGGAAAGGAAGGAAAGCTTCACAATGATTCATGAATGAGAATTTTCATGTGGTACTTTACACACTTCCATTATTTTCTTGCAACTATACAATTGAGGTTGACATGCTAATAAAGTAATTTAATCAGATACAAATATGAAATTTAGTTGTGAAGGCAGACAATAAATTTGGTAATTTTTGTGCAATATATCAGTACATGAACTTTTAGTGTTTATTTGCAGTAAGTTTAATAATTGGAGGACTGGTTTTTAGTCAACACTGGTTTTTAGTCAACACTTACTTAGCAACTTAGAGAGGAATTTATAACTACCACAACCTATTATATTTAGCATGTTTTGACTATTTTGATATTCGGAATATCAACTTGTAAGCGTCTGTAATTTCATTTCATGCTTACACTTTAGTTCTGTGACATACCACTGTGTCTGCAGCATCAATAACCTTGGAAATAAAATTGTGGTTGTTTTCTCTATTCTAACTACCCTTGGTCCTTTGTTGATCGTAAAAAGCAACAATATCAAATCTCAACAACCTTGATACATAGATGATAGAAGTTATGGTGATTTTGTGAAGTTCAAAGGAAACTTGTCTCATAGTAGTTAGCAAAATGCGGAGGTTAAGTTATGTGACTGCATGATTGATCAACTACCGATGTATCAACAAAGGGCGTTGACAAAAAGCCATATATATTTAGTGCCATTTTTTAGTCTGTAGTTTTTCTGATTTTGGCATACTCTCGCACCACTGTCCAAAGTAAGTATAGTTTTTATTTATTTGATACGGAACGTTACTGATGAATGAAGTGAGGATTACTCATACATTATTAGAGCATACACTATAAATTACAGTAAATTTTTATTAAAAATAACAAAATATTAGTACATTAATAACATTAAATATTAAAATTTTTATAAAAATTTATTATTTTTGAAATTCGTCTTTGTCACATGTTAAAAAAATTATTTATTTACTTATTTGCTAATTTGAGCTGGAAAGATTGCTCAGATTTTCGGGTATAGCAGCAACAGAGGGCGACAAGATTAGACCTGAAGCCTTTTTATAGCGCCAAGAAACAATTAATGGCTAAGAAAGTCTCCCTCAGTGGATAATGGATAGGATTAGGACGCTACTTTAAGAGATTAGAGAGTACACTTAGCCAATTTGTTGGCTTGCATATTAAGCTAATGAGCAAATGAACACATAGCAGTGTGTGATTTTTAGTGTGAAACTATTACATAAGGTATCCCACAGCAGTAGCTAGAGACTGATTCTTTTAAGAAGTTTCAATATCGGTAATCTTTGAAGTGTGAACACAAGGTATCTCATGATTTAGGCTAAGGTATCTCATTAATTGTTCATTCAAAACTAATCTTTTAGTGTGAACCTAAGGTATCTCATGATTTAGTCAGTAATAAGAATTAACAAAAGAAATATTATCTTTTTCAACAAAATCGGTTTTGTGCATGATCAAGAATTAAATTCTTGTAAGCATATTTATGAGAATCAGCTATATAATAATTATACCAGACTTCGTTGCTATAACTGTGTGTGTATATATGGACTTATTTAGTTTAAAAAAAAATAAAAAGAAAACAATTTAGCCACGCAAGTTGTTGTCCACGTTCTTTCTCATCTACAAGGGAAATGCATCTACCATATGTTTCGCAGCTCTGTTCCCATGATTTATGATACAAGATAGTTGCCAATCCTTTTCTCTTCATGGAAAGCTAATCTAGTTACGTAAATGTTTATTGTGTTAACATGGCTATGTTATATCTAATTTAAGAAGAGTGGTTCTTCCAAATCATCACACCTTTAATTTCCTCTGCTCAGCCATTAAAAAGTTTGTATTCTCGTAAAATATGTTTGGAAGGGAGAAAAAAAGGAGGAAAAGACATTTTTAATTTTAAATTAAAATATTTATATATCATTTATGATAATAAATATATTAAATTTATGCCATTATATCAATTTATTTAAAATACAAAATTTGTATTCCTTTTTTCTCTAAAATTTTCATTTCTAAACCATCCTTAGACTTTGTTTAGAAGAAGAGGGAGGAAAAATGTTTGAAAGGTAAGGAAGGAGAGAAAGAAAAAAGAAAAAGAGTGATTAACAAAAAATTCTTCAAATTTAAAAAATTAAAAAACATGAATTTGGAAGAGTTTATAAATTTTTTCCTTTTATTTAAAAACTTTCAAGAAAAAATGATAATTGTATAATTTTTTTTCATTCCTTTTCCTTTCTCTGAATTAAAAACCATGTTTAAAAAATTATAATAACTAGATAATTTTTTTAAAGGTAAAGAAAAAATTAAAGCTAATTTTGTAAGTCACATACAAGCATCTATGAATAACATAAAAGAATATTTGAAGTTAATAATTTAAATTACCCGTATAAATGAACCCCTTTATAGACTATGACACAAATACCAGACATACGTGTTTGGTGGTGGGTGTGCCCTACATATAGCACTATGGATTTAAGTGAGGGTATCCTTATGGTCAGAAAACAAGAAGCTCTAGCAAAGTTGGCACCATGTTCTTCTGTACTATCAAAATTCAAAACCAAATAGTGAAACAACTGAGACTTGTAAATCTATGAGATGGAGCATTTCATGTAAATAATTTTAGAGACCATGTGGTATGCTTTTCAAATATCCCAACCCGCAAACAACGTAAAATTGACACCCACATGAGTTTTCTATATATGTTGATGTCTATTACCATGAAAGGTTAACACTTTCTGCTTGTTTCTGTGCTTAATCTTCTTTAGCTGAAACAAAATGGAAACACTAAGATGAAATGCTCAAATTTGCCCCAAATAATTAATTGCTTCATACATTATTAGAAAAAAAGTTAATCATTCTGTTAGTTTCAACTTTCAGTTGCTTGTTGATGGATTAGGAATACTTTATGTCACTCATCAACATTATTTATATTCGTACAATGTCAAAGTTAAATTCGCTGAGTAGTTCGCAAAGATTCGGTGAAAACTATCAAGTTTTACATGTATTATATGAATTATTTAAGATTTAAGTAATATTAAAAAATATATTTTTTATTATAATAATAAATATTATGTTTTATTAAAAATTATTAAAGATATTCAACTTTTAATTTTGTTGAAGAAGTTTTGAATACAGTATTTGATTCGAGATTCATCTCTATATTGATATGGTATGGTTTGTCAAAATTTTAAAATCATGATTAATTAATAATAAAAAGAATTAAAATAAAATTTAATAAAAATTAATTAAATTTAAATAATAATTTTCAAAAGGACTGAAAACCAAATACCAATGTAAAAAATTGCAGAACTTAATAAAGAATTATTTGAAAATGATAAGTCATATTTATTACATAAAAGTTGATGAATAGTAAATTTATGAAGAAGAGACAGCAAAACTTGAAATTCAAAATATTGTCATGAATGTTGAAGACATATTTAAAAATATAATAAAATCACATTAAATTACATATTAACATGAAAATTATGACTTGTAGTATTGAAATGACCTCACGTTTAAATGAATTTGACACAGAAATAAACATATTGCCAATGTAATATGTCCAAAGAAAATGTGTCAAATAAATCAACAAGTTTTAAGTGTCGTTCGACCTAGAAATATTATTTTATTTAAATCATAGAAACAAAACAAAGTTTGAAAGCCTCCCCAGAATAAAATAAACTCTAGCTAAGTCTTGGCTCTTGAAGCCATTTTCAGAAACAGATTAGAACAACAAAAGAACATTCTATATACTGAGATGATTAGGTTGCCCTGAGCCAAGCATACCTTCAAGTTGCACCACTCCTAACCCTTTCATTGATAAACAATATGCTTTATCCGATCGAGTGATGCCGCCACAAGCAAGCCCACAATCTTTTTGGCCCTCAAAATTAGGATTTGGATTTAATTTCCTTATTCACAAGATGATATCAAAGAGGCGACAAGATAAGGATTATATCTTGTAATTATCCTCTTTGTTTTATTTGCATGAATAATATATTATCAATATAATAGCAAGAAACAAAGAGTGGGAAACAAGCATACGTAACTCTATAGGCTGCCTTTTGCTATTGCAAGGGAATGCCTTCACTCAAATACAAATAAGCCACTCACTTATCTGAATGAAAAGGAAGTGATGAGATTAAGGCTGTGTTATTTCTAGATCTTTTAAACGAAGTTTAATAAAAATCTATTTTTTTTTAGTTGATAATTTATCGTTAATAGAGAGAAAATAAAAAAAAATTAATAATTAACTGCTAATAAAGAAAAAAAGAAAAAAAAGAAAAAATGGAAAGAATTGTAAAAAAGATACCTACAAATGTGAACAAAAATCAATTTGTTAGAGCTAAGAAGATAAAGAAAAGAGAATACAAAGAGAATCTACAAACGTGAAAACAACAACTTTGTTAATACATAAAAGATAAAAAGAACTCACAGAGGTAAAAGAGACTAACTTTATTAGAAAGATAAAGAGATTCAAGAGTT